ATATTTCAATAATATATTTTTTTTAAACCGCATTTCAAATCATTTTAATTTGTTTTCCTGAAAATACTCCTATTGTTCACGGTAGATTTTTCAGTTTTAACAAACCCATGCTTTTATTATTCGCGGTAAAATTTTCAATTTTAATAAACCCTCTTATTTTCATGCTGCATGCCCTGCGTTATTATGCACTGAATTTTCAATTTTACTGCCGCATTTATTCTGCGGTTTTTTGGTCGACTTTAAAATATACGCCAATTAGTAACGCCATACAAAATACTCGTGCAAGGGGATTGCATCGCTGATTATTATAGATAGTGAACGAGATCGCGATGGCAATGCGAACAACCACGGCTGCCGTCGAGGCTGAAATAATGAGACGAAAGTATGGAGAAATTGGCGGCATGTATAATATTAAGTAAGTATGCCAATTAAGGGAGATGATATTTTACAGGAAAGTTCTTTCACTTTATAATTGATTCATATCCGAACGTATGAATTTTATTTTTAACAGAAAGCATAAATTGCATCAAGCTGCTATTTATCATCTACCACCGCAACTTCTTCGAAATTCTACGTGTCGAACTGAAGACATTTCATCGTCAACTACAACTATCAGGTGTGTGACAATTAAGTATATAATATATAAAGTATAATTACGTACATTCTTCAAAATACAAGTTTTGAAAAAGCGTTCTTTTAAAAAATATTTCGTACATATATCTTCAGAAAAATTCAGTAGAATTTATAATTAAATCAAATTTAAAATTTGCTGAAGCTCAATTGTAGATTTCCTTTATAACAAATAGATTTATTTAATTTATTCCACATTATATATTATTCCTCATTACGATATTTTGTTATATTAAATAATAAGGCGATTAAAATCTTGTATATATTATATAAGTGTACATACATCGGCGGAAAAGAAAGAAATTCTTTTACATATAAAGAAAAAGTTCTTTATATATGCTAGTAATATATTTTTGCAGAACTATTCTCAATAGCATGAAGATATTTCTTTACTATATTGATACAGAATGGCGAAAAGTAATTTACGAAATGGTACATCCGGGAACTCTGACAATACCGATCGCATAATCGTCATGCGACGCGGCCAGGTGCAAGATCGATCAGTCAAGAAATCCTCATTACACGGTTCCACGACGTGGAACTGGCGATGCCGCTCCGGAAACGAAAACCGCACTTCCGAGGAACGGAGAAATTACGTAAAATTCGACTTCCTTTTGCCCCACATCTCTGATCCCAATGATTACGATCACGTCGATCACACGGGATCCCTTAGTCATTGTTAATTTCTCTTTTCAGGGGATTCGTTACGATACCACGAATACCACGTCCTTATCACCCCAGCAGTGTCGTGTGCCGCAAATTACAAAAACTCAGGTCAATAAACTTTTGGATCGACGATCTTACAGGTGCCATTCGATAGAACGCTAAGAGTAGAATTTTTTTTACACACATAATAGACATACATTAATTGCGAATAAAATTATTCGTTTATATTAAGAATATTTTAATATGAAGCCAACAAATGTACATTTAATATAAGGCCACAAATTTAAGATGTGGATGCACATAATAAAATTTCAATCTTTTTTTCTTTTTTCTTTCATCTTCTGAATTCTTCAAAGAGATGAATTGTACATAGATAAGAGAAGAGAAAAATAGTTGAAGAATATTTGAAATTCTATTGTACATACATCTACAGCTTAGACTCATATTAGCCACATATTAAAGGATTCTATAATTATATGGAAAATTGGGTTCCGGTGAAATGAGTTAATTTTCACACATAATATAGCTTATAATGTGAACAAAAGGTGTCATAGAAACAACGCTTAATAATTAGTAATCATTTTTGAGCTATGTTGTATCAAAAATGCTCTGTGAGCACAAATGTTACACCTTTGGTATATCATAGTTCACAAAAACTATCCATTATTATTAAACCTTGTGTCTATGTATATATATTTTACATCTTTTTGTTCACCATATTATAAGCTGCATCATATGCATGTAAAAACTAATTTCACTGGGATTTTTCAAATTTTCTAAATAACATCCATATAATATAAAGGTCCTTTATAGTTATTATATTAATTGCCTTGATTGTCAACAGAGACGAGACGAAGACGATAAATTCTACATCTAGTAGTATTTCCAAAAAAATGGAGAAAAAAGACTCTAGGACCTTTAAAGCGGACTGCAAAATAATTCCCAGCCCTTCGACTTTGCAAACTTATTCGCGTATTAGTAGCGAGAGCGTGCCTGCTTCGCGAATTAAAGTAAGATCCCAAATTTTTAAATACAAATCAAAAACAATGTAAAATTAGTTTACTAAACGATTCCTAGTTGTATCGTTCACAGAAAATTATAATAATAGCATTTATAATTAAATAAGCCGGTCTAATTCTAATATTTATAGACTGCATTATTATATTTTTTAGGAGAGTTTTCATAAGAAGATACTTGCTCCACCGTGGCGATGTCGAGTCAGTAGTGCGAAAATTAGAAGAGATACATGAAACTATAAAAAGCGTCTTTAAAACGAAGCGTGTAGAATAGTTTTCTGCGAAAAGAAATCCGGTCAGGGGTGGGCAGTATTTGAAGTACATTTAAAATACGTATTCAAACACATTTTTGTATTTCGTATTTAAATACTTTTTCTGAGAGTATTTTGTATTTTGCATTCTAATACTTTTTTTTAGTATTTTGTATTTTAAATTTGTAAATACTAAATACATTTAAATTATGTAAAAATTTTTTTGATGAAAATTAAAATCCGCACCATTGTTGACTCAATCTAAAGTGAAATGGAACGAACCTCTAACGCGTGTCTCAACATTATTTTCTTATTAAGGCCCAGTTTCACAACTTACGGTTAACTCTTAACCGAGGTTCAATTATATCTCTTTCCAATTCTAGAATTGAAACAGGAAATAGGAACAGGGAATACAGATTTCAACTTATCAGATACATTAAAGAGATTTATAGATTAAAATCTGTTATTTCCTGTTCTCCTATTGCCTGTGCTTTTCAATTGTGTCTCAAGTATTGGGTCCATTTAGTGACATAAGTCGACATCGTTCTATCTCTGTTACTCATGGAATGCAAAGAAAGATAGAACACTTGTGTCGACTTGTATTACTAAATGAAAAGCTCCCTTTACGTGTTGCATTACATTTGTATTGTTGAGTGTAAAATTATAACATCGATGTTACGTTATTTCTGGTTGATGTTGGATTATGACAATGTACCACAATAGCAACGATTTTCTCCATATTTTTTCAGATACTCTCACACAACACAGTACTTGTGTACTGATAGACAGTACTTGGACATCTCTTGGAGATTTGTGCTGTATGAGTCTTTATACATTTGATTTTTTATTTTCGATATTTTATTTTCAGGGACGCGCGCGCGCGATATCAACAACGAATAATTATAAAACAATAATGCAATACAGGCAGTTAATATATACCTACAATTTGTCCAGCACATTCCGTTGCCGACCGACGCCGCACCTTTCGGGAACAAAATAGCAGCCATTTAGAGTAACGACGCCAAATTCTGTTCCGTACACGAAATACGACTGCAAAACGCGTTCACATGCCTCACTTTACGTTCGAGCTGCAAAGAGACAGGTGTCAGACTAGGATTGCATTCAGGGAAACGTTAGATCTGTCGCGTCGCAAGCTCCAACATGCTCCTACCATAGCTCCTACTCACTTTACCAAGCGCGTTGGAGTGAATAAGAGCTATGGTAGAAGCATATTGGAACATGTTGGAGCATGAGACGCGACAAACCTGTTATTAGCGCTATCATTCTACCTTCGTCCATTAGACGTGAGACAAAGATAGTGTACGCTGATAGCGCGCTCCTCGAATGCACCCTTTAGCGCATTTCAATCATACAATCATACAATTTTATTTTCACCAGAAATAACACAACAATAGGTTTGTCGCGTCGCATGTTTCTCCATGTTCCAATATGCTCCTACCATAGCTCTTACTCACTCCAACGCGCTCGATACTCTTGATAGAGTGAGTAGGAGTTATGACAGAAGCATGTTGGAGCTTGCGACGCGAACAAACCTAACGAAATTGTACAACAATACGGGCAGTACCTAAAATCTGTCCAGCGCTTTCCGTCGACGACCGACGCCGCGCTTTTCGGCAACGAAGTAGCAGCCATCTTGAATGGACGCGCGCCAAATTCCCTCGTTCGCGCGAATTTTGCGAAATACGATGTAAAACGCGCCCGCACACCGCGCTCCACACTCGAGCTGCAATAAACGTGCATAGACTTTAGCGCATTTCAATCATACAATCATACAAACGCCGTATTTTAGATTCGACGACATATACTTACGCTCCGAACGGAAAAGACGCTCGACGAGCGCGGGAGACCGAAAACTAACTGACCAATGGCTCCCCCACACGGGACGCGACGACCCGTCTTGCCGCGCTGCGGAAATTGGCGCCAATTAATTAAATTAGCTATGGCTAATCAGTCAATCGCTTTTATGGAAAAGCGGTAAATTGATTAGTTACCGCGCAAATTTTCGCGATACGGTAAACGTCGCCGCGTTCAGTGTACGGGAGTCATAAAACGGCTCGATTTCAAACCGCCAATCGGCAGTTAGAATATCGCGAGAGAGGAGTGGGGGAAGGAAGGACCGCCGGAACGTTTGAAATAAGTCGCACGTCGGTCGATAAATACGATCGACGGTCGAGCGAAAATTACCGGCGTGACTGTCGTGTTGTGAATCTCGAACGTGCGAATGTTGCAATAAACTTTTCGAAAGCGTCGCGATTTTTTTGAGATACCAAGAGGTATGAGAGAATGATAAACTCGCGGAACGGCGGAACGCGGAACGCGAGAACCAATGGCGCTCGGGCGCCGGCCAATCAGATCGAACCACATGGACGCATCACTTCGGCTGGTGTCCGGTGTCGTCGGCGAGAGAGACCGAGACGATCCGAGACGAGCGCGATGCGTTGCGTCACATGGTACGTATGTACGTGTGACACGGTTGACAAGCATGCCACGTTTTGCCGTCCGAAGCGAGACTGTCGAAAACTGCCGCGAGGAGGGATGCTGCCGGCATGGTTTTACGATTATTACGTACATAATGGGAAAACCTCTCACGTGAATGTGAAACGCGGAGATGCCACGGACTCCACGGGCGGTATGACACCGAAACTCTTCATCCCTGTCGTTTTCGTTCTTGGGATTGTCATCGCTGTTATCAGTACGTTTCTGTCGAAATACATAGGCGGCCTGTCCACCGATTCCACAGGTGAGTCGCAACTGATATATCTGCCCTTTCAGCGAGAGATTGCAAGCTTTATGTTGCCTACCGTTTCTGGCAACTTGCAGCAAGAGCTGCTTTACTTTTGAATATCAGAACAGAATGACGTTTGTGTTGACTGTGTCTGCTAAAAGGAGAGCAACTAGATGATGCAGGGTAACACACTGAATCATTGGATACTTTTCGTTTGGTATCGCAAATCGATACAAGAGACACTAAATGTTAAGAAAGATAGAATAACGTTTGTATCGACTTGTGTCACTGAATGAAAAGCATTCGTTACATCCTTGTTGTTTGTCAACGTTAAACAAGGATGAAATGATCTGTGTTACACTATCTCTTGCTGGAAAGCACCATAAGATATCTCTCGTCTTGCAGTTAATCATGCTATCATTTGCAAGCTGAGATTTAAATATAGTTAATGTCATAATGTCATAAATAATTTATTCTGTTGTTTCTTTCTAGAACAGGCATTTTATCATGGTCGTTCTGTGTTTGTGCCGCTTTCTTCAGAAGGCATTTTGAATGTCTATGATGATCACACGCTCACCATTTCACAACGCAACACTGAACTTGGTAAGGTTCAGTGTACTGCAGCGTCGATAACGGAGGCCCTGGCATCTTTGCACTTAGCTTTAGATATGAGATTATCTGGGAAGCAGGAGAAAGCTATAAAATTGTTCCAACATGCAGTAGCATTAGCACCTTGTCATCCAGACGTTTTGAATCATTACGGGGAGTTTTTGGAGCATACCCAGAACAATGTGATAAAAGCTAATGAATTTTACGTGCGTGCTTTAACTTATAAACCGAATCACGAAGGTGCTTTAATAAATAGTCAGAGGACAGCTCGTGTGGTCGAAGAACATGACAGAATAATGCTCAGACGAATCGATGACAAGAGAAATACGTTATCCAATATACCTGATAACAATGCTGCATTGATACGCGCTAAAAAGGAGGCTTACTTCCAACATATCTATCATACAGTCGGGATCGAGGGAAATACTATGAATCTTGCACAAACGAGAGCTATAGTCGAAACACGTATCGCGGTCTCCGGAAAGAGTATTGATGAACATAATGAAATCCTTGGATTAGATGCTGCCATGAAATATATCAATGCGACCTTGGTTAATAGGTAAGTTCATAGAATATAATATTTTGCATAAGCGACAAAAACGTTTTCTTTGTTATTAGTTTATTATTTATTATCCATGTAAATATATTTCAGGGTAGGGTCCATTTCTATAAAAGATGTACTGGAAATACATAGGCGTGTGCTTGGACATGTAGATCCCGTCGAAGGTGGTCAATTTCGAAGGACTCAAGTATACGTTGGCGGCCATATACCTCCAGGCCCTGGCGATATACATTATTTGATGGAGGAGTTAAAAAAAAAAAAAAAGCCATAAGAATGCATCCAGTGAGGTGTGCGAATTTCATATGTATTATATATTTATTTCCTATCACAAAATCTCAGATATTTTTATCTGAGATTTTGTGATAGGATTCAACAAATGGATATTAATCGGAAAAATTTACAGGTATGCAGCTCTCGCGCATTATAAACTGGTGCACATACATCCGTTCACTGATGGAAACGGCAGAACGTCCCGCTTGCTCATGAATATGATTCTCATGCAAGCTGGATATCCTCCCGTTATTATCCACAAACAGCATCGCCATAAATATTACGAGTACTTGCAACTAGCCAACGCCGGAGATGTTCGACCGTTTGTGAGATTCATAGCGGAATGTACAGAGCAGACATTAGATTTATTTTTATGGGCGACCACCGAATTTTCTCGACAAGTTCCTGCACTGAGTCAAGAGACATTATTTACCGAAAGGCACAATATAATTATTCTAGAAAATAATGAAATAGAAAATGATATACTAGAAAATGATTGAAAACTAATCTCAAGTCACGTTTGAAGTATTTTTGAGACCAAAGAGCGTTAATATTATTTATAACTCGATATTATTATTTATTGATAATTCCAATTTTAAAGAAAACTTAAATAATATATATGATTTTAAGATTAATAAATTAAATGATAATATCAACAGGTAGAATGAAATTTACCCATGGTATTAGAGCTGAAGCATATCTGCTCTGTGCCTGCTGACATGTGATCTAAATGTATTGTTATTTATGAGCTGCCAATTTTATCGCGTATCCATGTAAATACGACGAATCTCTCTTCCACTTTCTGTTCAGTACAGAAATTATATTTATAATGTATATAATAAATATGATAATAAATTGCGAAATGTGTTTATTCTTATTATATTAAATTGGTCAATTAGTGACATGAATCCTATCAATTAATGAATATTATATGTAAAAGGTTTGTTCTTTGTAGTTGAAATTTGTAGTGTAAATTTGTTGTACTTAAAACAGATATATATTTGAAGTTTAAAGACAAAAATGACAGAATAAAAAATTTAGTGCAACAAAGAATGGGCCTAAAGACTCCAGTATTTTTTTGGACAAGTTTCGAAATGTGCTAATATTGCTGTGTTCAGCGGAACACAACAGTTTTGCAACCGTTTTATGATTGTTTACTAAGATATGATCATTCTTCTAGATAAGTATAATCCAATCAGCGCGAAGAAAACTTCCAACAGTTGCAAAATAAACGTTCTACTGAACGCAGCCATTGACTATATTTAGCGGACTTGACAGTTTAGTAAACGCTCGTAATTGGTGTATTCCTCTAGATCATCCAGTCAAATTTAGATCCAAAAAAATACAAAAGCAGAGAACGCTCACGAACGAAATCTTTCGTTCGCATTCTTTCACAACTTTGAAGCAAAATTTGACACACTGTTGCGATATAAGAATAACTCAATAATCGAATGTGTGAAATTTTTGAAAAATCTACAATTATTAAGAAATTGTACTTTTTTTCATTTCTTTATTTTCTTGATAACCGTAAAGACCTTTCCCAGATCTCACATATATTTCAATTATTGAATTATTCTTATACCGCAACGGCACTCAAGTTTTGCTCCAAAGTTGCGAAAAAAATGCAATAGATCAAGATGGTGCTCACAAATAAAAAAAAAATTGCTTTTCTAATATAACTTCGCAGATTATAAATCCGCGGATATAATAAGCTAAATCACAAATTGAAAGAGACATCATTTAGAAAAGTTATTATTTAGTAAACATTAACTGTTGGAGCAGTAATTATTAAAATGATTTTTCACGATCTATGAGGCATATGAACATTTAAAATTATCAATTTCACTTTGAATGATAACTAACATCAAATTTCAAGGAAAAAATTCCATTTTTAATTTTACAGTGTACAATAAAAAATATTTTTTTTTAAATATATACACGTGCAAAATCGTACGGTTTGCCAAAGAAAGTACAGAAATATAAAAAAGTTGAAACTTGGAAGAAAGGCGATATGTAAAGTATAAAAAAGAAAGGATTAAAAAGAGGAAAGAGCAATGCTGATTAATATAAAGAGTGAAATGTTATTTCTGTTTGTATTATTTTATATATTATAGGCACAGATGTGTAGTTTATGATTAGACAATTTACCCCAGAGGGGTCAAAATAAAAAACAATCACTTACATTTTGTATTTTATAACATAACATTTGTGAATATAAGATTACTTGTTAGACGAATACATAACAAATTTTAATATTTGCGCAAACAAAAAAACCTCACAAAGTAAAACAATTCTAAGTAGTGCTTTCCAAACTTCGGACACTAACAAAAATAAAGCTTTTAACTTTGATAATCAAGTATAAAAATAAATTACGAAGGACAACAAAGAGTTGATGCGGCAATTAATACGTATTGAACATATAATGATCATACTTAAAAGATCGCTATCATGATGACATTTTGATGTCGACTCTATATTGCCTTTTGTTATTTACTTTTTTATTTGATATCTTGCAAAGATAATAAGAATCTTTAAGTGATATATATTTTTTAATGCTTTGATAGCATTGATAATCTATAACAAACTAATATCACTATTTTCTTTATAGTTTATAAATCAAATTTAATTAAAAATATAAAGTGTCGTAATAAACTTAAACTTTTAATATGAAATAATGTGGTACAATAATGAATACTTCACTCTTTAGGACATCCTTTATATATATCGCATTCAAAATTGATACCTTAATATAAAAACTTAACTGATTAAACAATCCAGGAGTTCTGCTGTCTTTTCTATATCAACGAATCGAGTGAATGCTCGAAGTAAGCAAGGAATATGTCCTAATTGATTCTTTATATAAAGTTCAATTTTTGCTGCTTCTCTCAAATTGTATATGTCTAGCTGTTCCTTGAACATTTTACAGTATGTTACACTTTTGTCAAATAACCTTATTGCTTCCTCTATGTTTCCTCTGAATGAAAAAAGGAATTCAAAACATTTTCACTAAAATATCTCCAGATTCTTTGTATAAAGTCTAGTTTATTATTTCCTGGTTAACTTGTGGTTGAATTTAATCACAAATTTCACCCAACGGGCTTCACTAATGGCATCATCATAAAATACCAGGTTAAGGCTAACTACAAATTAACCAGATAATGAAAAATTAGGCCTAAATCACGTATTGGATTAAGTTGGCGCATTTAAACATTTCAACCTAAAACAGTTATTAGGAACAATTACACTGAAAACATACCTTTTTACTTCAATGATTCCTAGTGCTCCATATGCCCGTCCATATTTTCCATCAATCTCTATCGCTTTGTTTATATATTCCACAGCTTTATCAACATTATCAATCCGCATGTGTAGTAAGCTCCTGTTTGCATATATAGCTGCGCACTTAGGATCTTTCTCCATTGCCTTAATAAAACAACGATCAGCCTTTCGGTATTGTTCAATTTGGGACAACATCTATAAATGATTGAAAATTTCACCAATTAATGCACAGCCAAAATGTGCACAACATAATAGTACTAACTTATTATACGTATTTCTTTTTAATTTCAATTTTTCTTACAAAATTATAAGTAATTGTACGTACGTCAGCATACATTATATAACACCATGTACATTCAGGAAGATTTGGATACTTTACAAAGATTCTCTCAAAAGTTTTGATAGCCGCTTTGACTAATCTCATATCATCATTTGATACCGCAATATAATAATCCATGTAACATTTTTGTATATACGCATTGCTGAAGTTTGGATTGTATTTAAGGGCCTTTTCAAACTCGAGCTTAGCCTGATTTTCTTTGTCCATGAACACAAGTGCCTGAGAAAAAAAAAGTAGTATTTACATTATATTATAATATGTGCATCTGAATGCGTGTGACAAAAAAATATGCTCAATGGCTGCGTTCAGCAGAGAAAACTGATCGGTTAGCGCTTAATGATTCTTTAATGATTGGTTCTTGCCTATAGTTCTTCGCTGGATCTCAATGCAGGAACCAATCACATTAAAGAATTACAGCGCTGATTAGTTTTCTCTGCTGACCGCAGCCATCGTTAATGTTCGTAATACCCGTCCTCTATGATAGTAGATGTCGCTACATGTTGAATTTATACTAATGGCCAATTCGAAGTCCTTGAAAGACATTTCTGAATCTTTGAATCGCATGTATAAGTCCGCTCTCTTTATCAGGGCGTTTATCTTCAAGTCATTGGACACATCTTCGCTGTTAAGTACGTTTTCAAAATCTTGAATTGCAGCACTATAGTTTCCCAAAAGTACGTAAAAAGTAGCTCGTAATAATAGCACCTCTAATTTAGTTGAAGATAATGTATCAAATTCCGAACTTTCAATGATTTCCGTACATAGCGGTATTATATCATCATATTTCTTATCTTTTAATGCTTTTAACGGTTTCTTGAAAAATCTGGTAAACACATTAAAAAAATAAATATTAAAATTAAACAAAAATAATTTTCTGCCTATACTTACTCTGGAATATTTTCTGGACGTTGAAGTCTTGAAAGATAAAATATATATATCGATGTCATGATTAATTGGTAAAATTAACTTTTTATTCACCCAACTTTCTTCAGCGTGTTGTATTACTAAAAATAATTTTCGCGGTAAGTCATTAAATTTCTGTTTTTATTTCTCAATTTTTATTCTAATTTGCCGAGGACTGTATTTTATTTAATACCACGTGTTTGTATATGTAACTCACCAAGCTTATCTAAGACCTTATCTGCCTTTACAAGAGAAGCATGATTAGAAAATCCTTCGTGAACACATACTGTAGTCAAATCCTTCATGGCGACGTCCAAATCTCTAATTTGCTCCGAAACACGTGCCCGACGTAGCAGAGCTTTCATATATTTTGGATTTAATTCCAACGCTTTTGTGCAATCTGCTATTACAGAACTATATTTTTTCTATAAATTGTAATTACAATTATATACACAGTAACACTTACACCATCGTAAACTTCAACATTCAATTAAAACTAAATTTTCATATTTTGCTTATTATCAGTATCGCCAATTTTATTACCAATTGCTCATACACAGCAGCTCTGTTTTGATAAAAAATCGCAAGATTCTCGACATTTTCCTTTGGACAGATGTCGACAGCTTTACTGTACTGAGCTATAGCTTCATCCGGTTTTCCCATTCTGAAATATACATTTCCTATGTTGTTATACTTCTGCGCCATTTGTAAAGGAATCTAAAAAGGAAAAGTTTACTTGAGTCAAAAACTATCTTTTGCTGTACACAATTTTTACAAATGTATACATATAATGCCTCTATGGGAGGCATTATGAGTTAATTTCACGTAAGTTCTGAAGAGACAAATAAATACTATAAAAGTCTCGATTGAATAAGAAAATCCATTATCGTATAAACAACATATTCCATTATCTCACTATCATAAAATTCAGTAGTGTTTGCACACAATATTATTTACAAGCTAAGAGGCACCGACAAATAGACTTTCGCTAAACCAATTAAGTGTTTTGAAATAAAGTCGGTAGTCTTGACCTTCAGTTCGACAGCGGGAGAAATCATTTTAGGCCAATCGGATTGTTCCATCGGGTTTCTTTCTATGGCGATCAAATGAGGAAGCATATGAAAGATTAGAGGAACGTTTCCTAATTCATTCTTTATATCAAATTGTACTTTCGCAAAGTTTCTGAAGAGGTATATTTGCAATAGTCCCACATATGTACGACAGATTATTGAAGCCTCATCAAATAACCTTACTGCTTTCTCGTTACCTCTGAAAAAAATTCAGAATATTTTTGTTATATCTTGTATTCTTTATGTAAGTTACATATGTGATTGTATTTGATTTATTTAAAAAATTCCAATATACAAAAATTATTATAAAAATTATTAAAACAACACAATTACGCTGGAAACATACATTTGCATTTCAATTTTTGCTAATTCTTTATATGCAACTTCGCATTTGTAATCCAATTCTATCGCTTTGTTAAAGCATTCTATTGCTTTATTGACACTACCATGCTTGAATTGCAATAAGCCTCTCGTTTCATAGACATACGCATACTCCGGATATTTCTGTATTGTTTTAACAAGACAAGCATCAACTTTTTGGAAGTTTTGGTGATGATCTGTTTTGGACATTATCTAAAAATAATTGAAAATTTCGTCAATGAATCCAAATATGCACAAAACAATCGTAATAATTTCTTATTATTTCTTTTTAATTCGATTTATTCTTAAAAAGAACTGTAAGTAGTCGTACGTACGTCAGCATACAGCGTAGAACAAAATATAATTTCAGGAGGATTTAGGAATTTTTTGAAAGCTCTTTCCAATTTTTTCACTGCCACTTTGACCAATCTTAAATTCATATTATCGTCCGCAAAACTAAAATCCATGTAACATGTTTGCAAGTATGCCAATCCGAAGTTTGAATTGCATTCAACGGCCTTTTCAAAATCGTGCCTAGCTTCGCATAGTCTTTCCATAAGTAAATATGTCTGACAAAAGAGAAATGATAAATATGTTTTGTTACATTATGTTAATAACGTAGACATACAGAGAAAATATGCTTAATATCAATGCCTAATACCTGTCCTCTTTGATAGTAAATATCGCCATAATGTGGATTTATACTAATGGCTAATTCGAAGTCCTTGAAAGCTATTTCGAATATCTCAAGTTGCATGTATATATTCGCTCTTTTTACCAAGGCACATATTTTTATGTCATCGGATACATTTTCGTTATTTAGTATACTTTCAAAATCTTGGATTGCAGAAACGTAGTCGCCCGAAAGTACGTAAAATGTAGCTCGTAATAATAATACCTCTAATTTAGACGGAGGTAATTTATCAAATTCGGCACTTTGAATAATTTCTGTGCATAGCGGTATTACATCATCATATTCTGCGTTTTTTAACGCTTCTAACGGTTTTTTAAAAAATCTGATAAATGTTATGTTGTATTTATTAAAAAGTAAACACAATTATTAGAGAAACACTTTTCTGCCCATACTTACTGTGGAAAATTGTTTGGATGTTGAAGTCTCAAAAATACTGGATCCTTAGGGATATGCAATGTAGATTTCGATGGCGTATTTACTTGGCAATACAAACTCTTTGTTTGCCAAATTTTCATAAGCTTGTTGTTCCACTAAAAACGATTTTTATTTCAAGTTATTATATTTCTCTGTTCTTAAATTTCTCATTTCCTATTTAAATTTGCCATAAATATTATTTTATTTAATATCAAGTATGTAATTTACCAAGATTATGGCAGATCTCATATGTCTTTGCAAGGAAAGTGTTATTAGAAAAATCGTCGTGAATACACGCGCTAATCAAATCTTTCAAAGCGGCTTCCAAGTCCCCTGATTGCTCCAAAACACGTGCCCGACGTAGCAAAGCTTTAATATATCTTGAATTTAGTTCTAACGCTTTTGTACAATCTGCCTTCACAGAACTGTATTTTTTCTACAAATTACAATTACAATTATATGAACAGACAATTCTACCACATTAATTTTAACAATCAATTGAAATAATTTTCATGTTACACTTATTATTACTATCAACAATTTTATTACCAATTGCTCATTTGCAGCAGCTCTATTTTGATAAAAAATCGCGAGGTCATTCAGTTTCTCCTTTGGACAAATTTCGATTGCTTTATCATATTGAGTAATAGCTTCATCATATTGTCCCATTTTGAAATATACATTTCCTACGTTTTTATACTTCTGTGCCCTTTGTGAAAGAGTCTAGAACGAAAGAGTTTGCTTGCATCAGTCACAAAAATGATCTATCTTTTAATTTATGATAATTTTATGAGTATATATAATGCTATGGAAGACACTACGAATTATTTCATTGAAGTTTCTAAAAGATAGACAAATATATACTATGAAAGTTCCATCGATCGATGAGAAAATCCATTATCATGTGCAAATATTTTATTATCTCATTATTACAAAGTTCAATAGTGCTTGCAGTCAATATTATTTATCGAAGATTATAGTTTGTGATAATAACATTTAGACATCAATAATACACTTACATGGATATCACTAAGAAAATATGTCAAAAGGGAAATAAAAATTACTCTGATGTTTTTAGGAATTAAAAAACACAGTTCATAAACGTAAAAAAATCCTCTTTTTTTAATTTCGGATAAATGGATTTTCGCAATCTATCGAATACTTCCAAACAAGTGATCTTAACCTTGGACTCAGTCAGGAGAGAAGACACTTTGGGTGGCCCATCACCATCCTTGTTTTCTATAGTATCAGAAGTACTAGCTTGGTCTCTAAGTTCCATCTAAAAGTGCAATTAGATAAATTTTCCATTTATTTAGCATTCAATTTCTTTTCGCAGTAGAGAAAGTGATACAATTGTGAATACACATCCAATTTTTAATAATTTTTAAATATAAAATCCAATGTCAGTATGATCACTCTATGACAAGTTTTAAGTAATTGTTTATGCTAATATTAAAGAAACTTATTTATTTAATTGATATTGATATTAATTTAGTATTAATTTTAATTAATTTGAAGAAATTCTCTCCAAGCTGTTTTTAAAGAATGATGAAGATGAGCATAATATATATTTTTAACTTTTTTTTCTGGTAGATCCTTTTGATTCAAGTATCCCCGAATGAAACAATCAATATGGACTTTTTAAGATTTTGAAAACGTTTTCTTTCAATCCTAATTTCAAAACAAAATAGGCATCAATATACAATGACATAAGAAACAGACATCAGATATTTGATTTCAGATTCTGTATTATCATTCAGTATTATAGAAAGATGTATTGCAAATAGGTCTGTTCTTTATTCCTACATTACCTGAACTGGTGCACATGGTGTAATAAATTGAAGTGAAATAGCAGGCCTGTTCTTTTTGGCTGAACTTTTGCACATCTTTCTTCCTTTTCTCTCCAGGAAGAAAGAAAAGGAAGAAAGATAAACGGATGCAAAAATTCAGCCAAAAAGAACAGGTCTAAATATACATTTGTTTCGCTTCAACTTATTGCACCGAATACACCAGTTCAGACAGTGCAGCAATAAAGAACAGACCTAATGACTTTAGAGTCCTCATGTGCAGGACAAATAAAAATTTATATTTAAAGAAGAATGGATTCTAAAGTCTACAGATACAGCCTTATAATCAATGTCATCAAAAAAGAGAATTTTTAATTTTTAAATAAAATATATACCAACTATCTTGATACAGTAAAGAATAAAAAAATGAAAATAAAAATTAAAAACAATCATAATAGCACTTTATCACTCTTCATAACTACTTTTGTAATTATCAACAGTATGATTCATCTGACTATGCTACTATGCTATCAAATAATATTGCTGTAAACATAAATATAGCGCTGAGACACTCAAGTTTTCTGATGTATATATATATATATATATATATTTTATATTTTATATATTATTTGATAGCATAGTAGCCAACCATAGTCATGTATACCAACAAGACAATGACATAATCTAAAACAAAAGACATACATAAAGCTATTTTTTGTTCAAGTCATGGACACATAAAGCTATTAAAAGCCTGGTCAGACGAAGAATAGACAAGAGAAATAAATCCAGGATAATCTCCCCCCCCAAACTGCGTAAATACATCCAATCCAGCATTAGGAAACATCACCCAAGTGTCCTTGCGAATAGTTTTATCCATAGGCGTTTTTTTTTAGTTGAACTTGCACGGGTCATCTTATCTCTTTTTTCTCTCCAACGAGAAAAGAAAGATGAACCATGCAAGAATTTTAGCTAAAAGGAATAGGACCTCATGTTGTTCACTCAACGTTAAATAAGGATAAGATGATGCACGAAGGCACTCGGTTTCTAAGTCCAAGAGAGAACAGGAGAGAGAAATATATTAAATCCGAAACTAGCCTGGTTTATGAACGTCATTAACTTAGGTATGCCAGGACCAGTACAGTTCAACAGTGATTTCAATGCTTTTGTTCAAATGATTATTACAAACACGGCCCGAATAAATACGCATACATACCTTGGCATTGTTAGATACCTTCTTCTTCTTCTTCTTTTTATTCTTATTCTTTTTCTTTCTATATCCCGTGGATTTCAGACTCAATTGAGTATTGTTGGACATGTTGGTTTCGCCGTGCACGAAATCCTCCATTTTTTTTCAATACGTGTGCACGACTCTCGTAACGACTACGAAAACTAGTGTCTTCCTTGTCACGTGTTTATAAATATTTTTACAAAAACAACTTCATGTAAGTGTAATATATATCGATGCTTACCAGCAGCCCTCGTCCAATTTTTCCAAACGGAAAAATACTTTTAGCTAACATGAAACAGAAAATTCCCCGGACACATCACTACTCTACTAATCCCATTCTATTCTTCCAACTGATATAGCCCTCGCCACTAATAATGGCGGCGCTGGAGGAGAAACCCCTCCCACTACCCGCAAAGTGACCGTGATAAATATGCGAGCAAGAAGGACATCCCAATGGCGATGGATGTCATCAACAGAAAAGGCCTGTTCTTTTTGGCTGAACTTTTACACCAGTTCTTTCTTCCTCTTCTTTCCTCCTAAAAAAAAAGGAAGAAAGATGAACTGGTGCAAAAGTTCAGCCAAAAAGAACAGGCCTAAAACGTGTTCGCGATGGTTGCACTTTCTGCACTGACCATCGCTTCCTCTCTTTTCAACGCTCCAATGAGTCTGTTATGAGCAGGGTTGGGCAAGTTAACTTTTTTTTTTAACTAAGTTAAGTTAAAGTTAACAGCTTTGAAAATTTAACTTAATTAAAGTACAAGTTAATTCATAATGAAATTAATTAAATTAAAAGGTAAGTTAATGAAAAAAGTAATTGAAGAATCAAAAGTTAAATATGGTCCAAACAACTAAAAAAAGAAAAAGTTTGACCATTTTACATAATTTTTTGTATTTTTCCTTTCTCTCAGAGCATATTTATTAAAGAATCTGATGAAGAATATCTGTTAAAGAATTATTTTTGTCTACAAGTAACAAGATACGATACATGTAACAATGAAGATGGAAGGCTTGGAAAAGAATGATAAAAAAAAGAATGTTACTTCTATTGTTTCGTATATTTTTATTTTCCATATTATAGATATAGTGTGGTATATAACTGCACATTGTCTCTCGGAGATAATCAAAATAAACATAGCACTCAGTTATACTTTGTTCTTCAGAAATAAAAAATTTATATAACCAAAAAATTATTTGAACGATAAACAAATTTTAAAATTTACGCAAATATAAAATCTTAAAACTCAAACCATTTTAAATAATCTTTTACAAACTTCAGTTACTAACAAATACATTATAATTCCATAATGAAAAACAAAAGAACCAGTTAAAAACTCAAAACTTTTAACATAAAATAATGCGGTAGTGTTTCAGTTTTTACACACTGTACATATATCGTGTTCAAAATGTTCGTGTTTATGTTCACTGATGTCCTAACTTGCATTTTAATTTATGCGGCAGAGTCGGTGTCGATCCGCAACTTCTACATCAATGAATCCAGTGAACGACTGAAGAAATCGGGGAATGCATCCTAACTGTTTCTGTACATGAAGTTGTATTTTTACAGCGTTTATCATAATATACATGTCTATTAGTTGCATGTATGTGCGACACAATATTAAAACATTCTCAAATAATGTTATTGCTTCTTCTAAGTTTCCTCTGAAAGAAAAAACGAATTCTGAATATTATTAGAAGGTCTTCAGACTTTTTTCTGTAAGTATACATACGATTGCAGTTGGTTCATTTAAAAAATTCCAATACAATCATGAGAAACAATTATACTTGAAACATGCCTTTCCATTTCGATTTGTCCTAATCCTAGATATGCAAGCTCGCATTTATCATCAATTTCTAACGCTTTTTTCATGTATTCAATAGCTTTATCAACATTCTGTTTCCATTGCAATTGTAGTGAACCTCTAAGCACATAGAGATTTGCGTTCGCTGAATCTTTCTCCAGTGCTGCAGCAAGGATAGTATCAGCCTTTTCAAACTGTTGACTTTCCAACATAACCTACAATTATTAAAAAATTCACCAATAATTCAAAATGTGTACCACACAATAATAATTTATCACTTATTTCTTTTTAATTTTAATAATTTTTCTTAAGAAATTAAATAATTGTACCTGAGCATACATTGCATAATATAATGTACTTTCAGGCGGATTTGGAAACTTTTTGAAAGCTTTCTTATACTCTTTCGCAGCTGCTTTAATTGATCTTACATTTTCACTCATAAGCGCTATACGAAAATCTGCATCCAATTTTTGCACGTATGCTGCACCGAAATTTGGATTGCATTCAACAGCCTTATCAAAATCGCGCTTAGCTTGATCTAATAATCCATGCATATTTATCTGAAATGACAATATCATAGCAGCATTTTTACGTTGATCTTATAATACAACAATACATGTGAATAAGAAAAATATGCTAAATGTGCGTAGGTAATACCTGTAATACTCCTCTATGATGATAAATATCGCTACATTTCGGGTTGATACTAATGGCTGAGTCAAAGTCCTTGTGAGCTAATTCTAGAATTTCCAGTTGCGCGTATAAATTCGCTCTTTTTATTAGGGCATTTATCCTTACATCTTCAGATGCATCTTTACTGGTCACTACTCTTTCAAAATCTTTGATTGCAGCATCCTGTTTGCCCAAAAGTACGTAAAACGTAGCTCGTAATAACAGCACTTCAAATTTAGATGAAGGTAATGTATCAAATTCTGAACTTTTAATGACTTCTGTGCACAGTGGTATTACATCATCGTATTTTCTCTCTTTTAAAGCTTGTAATGGTTTCTTGAAAAATCTAATAACAAATATTACTTGAAAAAAGAAAAAAAGAAAGGGAAAAAAAACATCACAATTATCAAAAAGAGTCTTCAATTTATATTTACTCAGGAATATTTTCTGGTTGTTGAAGTCTAGAAAATACTGGATCCTTAGAAAACATTTTAGTGTATGATTCGATAAAATTCTTACTTAGCATTACATATTCTTTGTTTGCCAAATATTCCTGGGCGAGTTGTTCGACTGAAAATAATTTTTACTTTAAATTATTAAATAACTGTTCTTATATTTCTCAATTATTATTTTAATTTGCCGTGAATATTTCATTTAATACCAATTGCTTTTGACATGTAACTCACCAAACTTGTTGAAGATCTTATCCGCTGTTACAAGGGAAGTTCGATTAGAAAAACTTTCATGAATACATACAGTAGCCATATCCTTCAAAGCGGCTTCCAAGTCTCCTATTTGCTCCAAAGCACGTGCCCGACGTAGCAGAGCTTTCATGTATGTTGGATTCAATTCTAACGCTTTTGTACAATCTGCTTTTACAGAACTGTATTTTTTCTGCAAGTTGCAATTACAATTGTGCAAACAGATACTTATACCACATTGATTTTAATAATCAATTTAAGTCTTATTTTTATGTTATGTTTATTATTACTATCAACAATTTTATTACCAATTTCTCATTTGCAGCTGATCTATTTTGATACAAAATCGCGAGATCATTTACTTTCTCCTTTGGACAAATGTCGATTGCTTTATTATATTGAGCAATAGCTTCATTATATTTTCCCGTTTTGAAATATACATTTCCCATGTTCTTATATTTGTATGCACTTTGTAAAGGAGTCTAGAACGAAAGAATTTGCTTGAGTCAATTTACGAAAGTATTATATTTTGTAATCTAGGATATTCTAGAATATTATGATTCGCTAATTTTAAATGCTTATAATTCAAAAACTGTTACAGCCTCGTCATTTTGATATTATAATTTTCATCTCAAAATGACTTCAGGAATCTGCCATTAGCAAGTGGTACAATAGATCTAAAATCCCCTGTAAAATGCTACTGTAGATGACACTATCAGATTCATTTAAATTTTAAGAAATAGACAAATATATACTACGAAAATCTTGTGATCGATTAGGAAAATTTAGTTATGTCTTAACTTTAGTTATGTCTTAACATATTTTATAATCTCATTATCATGAAGTTCAGCGGTGCTTGTAGATATTATTATTTATTGAAAATTAAGTTGAAAAGATATCCTTTTTTTAAATATATAATAAATGGAATTTCATATCAAACGCTTCCAGATAAGTAATCTTAACCTCGGACTCAGTCTGTGGCTCAGTCACTTTAGTTGGCTGATCACTATCCTTGCTTCCTATATTAGATCCATATTTACTGCTCTGCTCCATCTAAGAGTATAATGAGATAAATTTTCATTTCATTTAATATTTGATTTCTTTTCATAGTACAGAAGATGTAATCATGACCTTTCGATTTTCGATAACTTTTATTTGTTAATAACTTTTTTGTTTTTCTCAATATAATTTCCTTTGCAATATTAGAATAATTCAGGTTTATGAATGCATGATATACATAAAGCTGTTTTTTGCTTTAAGAGTAGTGTATTTGAGTATGTGTACTTTGGCTGCATTCTGTTGCATGCACAACCCCGGATCTACAATAGAGTTTTAGCCTTAAGAAATAGACGAATGATAGTCGATTATTCTCCTTGAATTCGATTGTAATTGATCAGTTTCTTACGACTTAAGGCTTAAAACATCTATTGTATCATACTGTGTCATTTTATTCTTGTTTTAACACTTTATGAATAACAAGGATAGATTATCTCATGCAAATTATGCATACAATGGAACACAGCCATGGCATTCCGGAATCCAAAATGGATTCCGATCGGAATCCATTCCGACTTTGTTCCATGAAAGATGTCCTGTTCAAATGATAATGGTGGCCACAGGAAAGGCAGACAATGGCTGTGTTTACACCGTGCATTTAGGCCGCGGCCTATACGATAGATGTCTTTGGCTACGGTCCACTTGACGCTACAAACGCTTCGAAGCATTCTTTGATTAGTCAATTCGTAAAATTTTTTGTTCTGATTGATCGCTCAAACGCTTCGAAGCGTTTGTAGCGTCAAGTGGACCGCAGCCTTTGTTTAACCAACAGAATAAACAAGGACATCTATCGTATAGGCCGCGGCCTAAATGCACGGTATAAACGTAGCCAGTAACATCATTACATTGTCGTTGCGCAGGTTTTTTATCATATAAAATATCTGAGCAACGATCTCGGTACTGTCGTAACGATTTACAGAATAAATCAATAGGGGCTTTGAATAATATGCAACCACGAAAATACAGCCGCGCGAGAACGTTAAGGGTGTCTTCCGCCATTCTTCTACCTCAGTAATAGGCTTTTCGTTGTTCGCTCAGTTTATCAAAAAAATAACGACATTCACAAGCGAATAAACTCTCAGCTCATATAAGTATGAACGCAATATATACCTTAGCTTTGTTGAATGCTATCCTGCGTACAAATTTCGTTATTCTGTTTAATACGCGCGCACTGAATTGATTATTCCTAGTAACAATGGCTGCGTTCAGCAGAACGTTCGTTTTGCAACTGTTGGAAGTTTCCTTCGAGCTGATTGGATCATACTTTTAGATCTAGAAGAATAGTCCTATCTCAGCAGACAATCATAAAACGGTTGCAAAACTGTTGAGTCTGCTGAACGCAGCCAATGCTCCACAAAGGGTGCGTTCAGCAGAACGTTTGTTTTGCAACTGTTGTAAGTTTCCTTCGCGCTAATTGGATCATACTTTTAGATCTAGAAGAATGGTCCTATCTCAGCAGACAATCATAAAACGGTTGCAAAACTGTTGAGTCTGCTGAACGCAGCCAAAGTCAAACGCAAAACGGTATAAAATATACGGACGCTTCTCAAGTCCCAACAGCCTTTCTCTTTTTTTCTTTGTTTTCTCCAATTACGAAAATCCTTTTGGCTGCTTTTGGCCAATGACTGCGTTCGGATTGGACCATAGATATAACATATCTAGGCTGTGTTCCAAAATTCACTGCCAGCGCTGAAAATCTACAATTTACGTCACGTATACTATACATTTCCAGTACTGCCAGTGAATTTTGGAACACAGCCCTAGATCGAACATTCTTCGAAATTTTGTGATTTTCTTCCATGTTATTACCATGGATAGTATAACTAGACTGCAAAATTCTCTTCAAAATTCGAGGAATGGGGATAAGGCTCTGTGCACAATGGAGGACATATTAGAATAGGAATAAATATTAAGATTTCAACCTATCAGAAACCGTGTATTCTGATGGAACTTGTATCTGATAGGTTGAAATCTTAATATTTATTCCTGTTCCTAATATTTGTTCTATTGTACGCAGGCTCTAAAACTCATGTAAAAAGAACGCACACACTGTTATCCTTGTGAATATTCAAATACAAAAACTGTACAAAACAATACTTGAATAAGTCTCATATCTATAATTTTAGCACTGACTAATCTATAGTACCAGAGATCGAATTTCGAAATAAAATTACATTTTTAATTCTACGCGTTCCGTAATAGAAGAAACATTTAAAGAGGAATAAAAAAAAATACATGCACGTATAAAATATACACTAAAATGCATACACGTACGTCAAAATGCGTGAAACATAATTGTGATTTTTATATCGAAATCCGACGTTATAAATTATTTAACGCAAGCTTAAGAATGAGAATAACTTTTTAGAATGCCATTTCTTATTTTTTTTAGGGGATCCTAAAGCTGTCTGCATTACCGACTAAATCTTACTTTTTATATATATGTATATTTTGTACAAAAAGTATGGAAATAAAAGGGTTCGAAGAATAGCAAAGATATGTTAATACAATAGAATATGAAAAAAATAAGATTCACTGGATGATTGGAAAAGGAGAAAGTTCCAAGTAAAAGACAAGACATTATTTCTGTTTATTTTGTATATTCTTTTATTACTTGCATATATTTATACTGTTTTGTGTGTAATGTAACTGGACACAATCCAGGGAAGGTTAAAAAATAAATTGACATATCATTTGCACTTCGTCTTTTAGAATTAAAAAAAAATTCATTATAAATCACTCTCTCTCTCTTACATAAATTTTAATTTTTACGTGAACATAAACTCTTGCAAAGTAAAATTCGAATAAAACAAGTCGATAACAAACTTCAGTTGTTAACAAATATTTTAAAGATTTCTACATAGATAATATATAGTTAAAAATATAAAATGGGATTACAAATTTCAAATTTAGTAATCAATCCATAGGTTCTTCCAGAGCTTATAAATGAAGAAATCGAAAAGAGAATGGTAGAAGGAATTGGGGAATATATCTTAACCCTGCTTGATTTTTTATATCAAGTTGTACTTTTGTTGCATCTCTCAAGTGATATATATTTAGCAGTTCCTTAGATGTACGACAGTATATTAAAGCTTTGTCCAATAATCTTATTGCTTTTTGTATGTTTCCTCTGAATGAAAAAATAAATTCTGAATATTTTTACATCTTCAGATTCTGTATATAAGTCACATATGTGTCTGCAGTTGGCTCATTTAGAAATTTCTTACGTACAATAATTATTAGAATAAGTACAATACACATACCTTTCTATTTCGATGGTTCCTAACGCTTTATATGCAGCATCGCATTTTTCATTCAATTTGATTGATTTGTAAAGATATTTCATAGCTTTATCAAAATCATTGTCCCAATCGAATTGCAAAAAGGCTCTCTGCAGATAAACAAAAGACATAGATGGGTCGTACGGATGTCTCTTTGTTATTTTAATAAAATAAATATGAGCCTTTCGATATTGTCGAATTTCGGACATCATCTACAAATAATGAAAAATTCATCTATAAATTAAAATGTGTACAGTATAATGGTAATAATCTTTAATTAATTTTTTTTTAATTTCAATTCTTTCTTTAAAAAAATTGTAAATAGTTGCACATACGCCGCGAAACAAAACATAGCAATATATACATTCAGGAACAGTTGGATACTTTATAAAAATTGCCTCGAAAGCTTTCACAGCCGTTCTAACTAATTTTTTATCTTTATTTAATATCCCAATCTGATAATCCGTGTAAGATTTTTGTATATATGCCATGCTGAAGTTTGGATTGTACACAATAGCCTTTTCAAAATCGGGTTTAGCTTTGGTCAGTAAGTGCATGTACACATATGTCTGAAATTATAAAGTATTGTTACGTTATTTTATAATACGTGTATCTATATGCGTGCGATGAAAATGTGCTCAATGTGCATAATACCAATCCTCTGTGATAGTAAATATCGCTACAAGCCGGATTTATACTAATGGCTAAATCGAAATCCTTGAAAACCATTTCTTTATTCTTGAGACCTTTGTGTAAATCTGCTCTCTTTAACAGGGCGTTTATCTTCACGTCATCAGATGCATATTCGGTGTTCAGTATACTTTCAAAATCATGGATTGCAGAATTGTTCTCGTTCAAAAAAGTATAAAATGTAGCTCGCAACAATACCACCTCTAATTTAGTTGAAGGTAATGTATCAAATTCCGGACTTTCAATAATTTCCGTACATAGCGGTATTACCTCATCATATTTCTTATCTTTTAACGCTTGTAATGGCTTCTTGAAAAATCTAATAATAAACACATTAAAAAGTAAATAACCACATACACAAAAAGTCTTCTGCCTATACTTACTCTGGAATATTCTCTGGACATTTAAGTCTAGAAAATACTGGATCCTTAGGGAAAGCTACAATATAAAGTTTGATGAAATGTTCATTTGGCATAACTGCCTTTTTATTTGCCAAATTTTCACGAGCGTGTTGATTCACTAAAAATCATTTTTTTCCTTTAAATTATTAAATTTTTCTGTTCTTATTCTAATTCGCAGTGAATAGTGTTTAACACCAAGTGCTTTTGGTATATAACTCACCAAGCTTTTCCAAGATATTATCTGCTTTTAAAAGGGAAGATTGGTCAGAAAAGTTTTCGTGAATACACACGGTAGTCATATCCTTCAAAGCAGCTTCTAAATCCCCTATTTGCTCCAAAACACGTGCCCGACGTAATAAAGCTTTTGTATATTTTGGATTTTGTTCTAATGCTTTTGTACAATCTGCCTTCACAGCACTATATATTTTCTGTAAATTGCATTACAAATGTGTGAACAATGACACACTTATTATTTGACTTTAAAAATCAGTTGAAATCAGATTTTCATATTGTGTTTAGCAATCACTAATTTTATTACCAACTGTTCATATGCAGCCGCTCTATTTTCATAAAAAACCGCGAGATTCTCTATATTTTCCTTTGGACAGGTTTCGATTGCTTTATTATATTGAGCAATAGCATCATTATACTTTCCCATTTTGAAATAAAAATCTCCTGTATTATAATACTTCCATGTCTTCTGAAAAATAGTCTAAAACAAAAGTGTTTGCTGTGTCATGTGCTTTCTTCTACAGTCTATAATAATTTTTATGTGTATATGCAGGAAGATCCATTTTAATCAATCTACTAAAATATCCCAAAATCCATAAGTTTAAGCCAAAAATGTTTTAGACAAAAATTGCTCAGTTACTAAAGGAAAAGAAGAGGACAATCTTGGTTTAACCTCCGTCTCAGCCATGGAAGAAGACATTTTGAGTCGTTTGAGTGGCGGATCACCATCCTCGTTTCCTGGTTTAGATCTATTTTCGCTGTTATACTCCATCTAAAAGTACAATAAAACAAGCTTTGTATTCAGTTAACATTTGATTTCATTTCGCAATATAGATATTGGCACGATCATCAACACTTTCGATTGTTAATAACAGTTAAGATACAAGAACAGTTAATAAAGTTATTCTTAATTAAAAGTTTTTATTGTATGAGATGTCGGATCTAGTATCCTAAAAATATCCTAGATCGACAAATCGAGTAGCGAAGGAATCAAGAACCTCGTCAGGTGAAGATAGAAACAGGATAACGGGAGAGTAAAAAGTGCGTTCCTTTTCACGCTCATACGCTGTAAGCATCGGTTCATCCTTGTTGTCTATCAAATATTAAACAAGGATAAACGATTCTTACAAGCGTTATAAGGCCTGTAAGCTCAAGATGAACGCATGCAAAGTTAGGATCATGCTCCCAAATGTCTCTCCCCCAACTTATCATGAAAATACAACCACATAAGAGAACATAAGGAGAAGGAAATATATGAAATGCGAATTGAGCTTGTTTTATGCAGGCCATAACCGTTAACTTTTGCCGGAACTAATGAAGCTCAACACAAGGATTTCAATACTTTCGTTCATTACTTTCGATTATTACGAACACGAGTAAATACGCATAAATACCTTGACAATGTTGTTTCCGTCGCGTAGAACTTTCGCCATTTCTTTTAGTATGTATTTAGGTAGGATACGAATAGATACGCAACTTCCGCGTCATGTGACTTACGACCTATATCTCTTCTTCGCTACGATTTTTCAGCATCGCGATCTTGTTTAGGCTGCGGTCCATTTGACGCTACAAACGTTTTGAAGGGTTTGAGCGACCAATCAGAACAAAGAATTTTACGAATTGACTAATCAAAGAATGTTCGAAGCGTTTGTAGCGCCAAATGGACCGCAGCCTTAAATGTAATTACAAAGAAAAGTTCGTATCAACATAAAATATATTGAAAATGTTTCCCAGTAGCCTTTGTTTCTTCTTCCTCACGTCCAGTCGGGGAAATCTTTTCAACCAGAATAAAGTGGGAATTCGGGAATTCCAAGCCAATGGCTGCGTTCAGCAGAGAAAGCAGCTTTGCAACTGTTGTAAAATTTTTCAATACGATTGGTTCTTGCTTTTAATTCCTTATGGATCTAAATTATAAATCAATCATATTGAAAAATTTTACAACAGTCGTAAAGCTGCTTTCTCTGCTGAACGCAGTCATTAATTGGTTGAATTCATTATGCCCATTCGCTCGATAAGCATGCCTAGCCGTTTTGTCGGCTTGAACTCCGTCTATTGTTACAATATTACTACAATACTACCGATCGTGATTACTACCCAACTACACGGAAGCTGCAATCACGAGGCCGGTCTCACGTATCGCTTCAATTGATTTAATTGGATGATTAAATTTCAGAATTGCTAACTGAAAACATTTTAATTTTCTGCAAATTGATTTTTTTTTTACGTAAAATATATTTTAAATTAATAAGTAGATAATATTTTTAATTAAAATAATTAATTCTACATAATTTGGCATCATACGACAATAACAATATATTACATTCTTTACTGCCAGATCCAATTTTCAGTTCGTAATTCTGAAAAATCAGCTGACTAATAGGAATTAACGAGACCAACCAAGGATCCACATAGTACGAAAAAGAGCCTGCAATGGTAGCGAGACACGTTATCGGATAAAATAAATCCGCGTTTTGTTTCGAAATTCCGAAAAATATAATATTGAAAACATTTTAGATATATAAAATTATAAATCCGCGGATGTTGTAAACCAAATAATAAACTGAAAAATAGACATTTAAAGAAAATAGGTATTATTTAGTAATTAATAAAAATATTAATTAAATGTTGAAACAGTAATAAAATGGTTCTTCACAATTCAACTGAGACATTTAAATATTTAAAATTATCGATCTCATTTTGAACGGTTTATAATTTGCACCAAAATTCAGGAGAAAATTACATTTTTAATTTACGTATCGTATAACACAAGAAATATTTACAAAAAAAAATACATGCACACATAAAGTCAAACAGTTTGTCAAAGAAGGTATTGAAGGAAGAAATATGGAAAAGAGATATGCAATACAGTATGAAAATAAGAGGATTGGAAAGAAGGAGACCAATTAAAAAAGGATATTCTATTTGTATTATTCTATCATTTTCATTATTGTATATTATAGGCACAGTTGCGTACATAATTAGACATTATGACCCAGAGGAGGCCAAAATATGCACTACCCATCATTTATATATATATATATATATATATATATATCTATCTCATATGATTTTATTTGCTAGAAATTAAAGATTTATATAAATGATACGCAATAAATTTTATATTTGCGCAAACTTAAAATCTTATAAAAGTGAAACTAATTTAAAAAATCAATCACAAACTTTAAAGACTTCTATATAAGTAGTACATAAATATTTTTTTATTCATTAGAAATTAAAAGATTTATAAATAAAAAGATTTATAAATAATACGCAACAAACTGTAATACTTACGCAAACATAAAATTTTACAAAGTAAAACTCAAACAATTCTAAAGAGTCGATTACAAACTGCAGTTAAGAACAAATATTTTAAAGATTTATATATATGCAGTATGAAAAATAAAATGTAGTTAAAAATAAGATTTCATTAAAAAAAAAACTTAAACCTCTATAAAAAACTTAAAACTTAAAAAATTTAAACCTCTATAAAAAAACTTAAACCTCTATATTATAGTATAAAATAATGATGCATGCTTCCTCCCTCTCTCTCTTCCCGCCCTCTTCCTTCTTACTCAATCTTTAGGGCACTTTTTGTTTGTTGTATATGTGCGCGCGCGACACACTCATGCATACATATAGTATGTATACATATCGTGTTCAAGAGTGATATCTTAACATATAATCGTAACTGAACCCTTGATGGATTCTTCCGTACTTCGCAACACATATATCCGCGAACCAAAATGACGATCGAAATACTTGTCGGCGAATTGATTCTTGACATCAAGTTTTACTTTTGCTGTGTCTCTTAAGTAGTATAGGTTTACCAGTTCCTCAAATATAAAACAGTATACTAAAGCTTTGTCAAATAATCTTATTGCTTCTTCTATGTTTCCCCTAAATTAAAAAAATGAATTCAGAATATTTTCACTAAAACATCTTCGGATTTAGAATATTAAAACAAATTTCTTTATACGTCATGTATACGACTACAATAAGTTCATTCAGAAAAGTACAATAACTATAAGAAACGATTGGAAACATACCTTTCTATTTCAACGGTTCCTAACACTTTATATGCAGAACTCAATTTTTCATCCAATTCTATTGCTTTGTAAAGATATTTCATAGCTTTATCAAAATCATTGTCCCAATCTAATTGCAAAAGGGCTCTTTGCAAATAAACAAAAGACATAGATGTGTCGTCCGGATGTTTCTTTATTATTTTAGTAAAATAAACATGAGCTTTTTGGTACTGTTGAGTTTCGGACATCATCTAAAAATAATTGAAAATTTTAACAATGAATCAAAATGTAAACGGTAATAATTTGTCACTCTCATCTCTTTTTTATTCCAATTATCTTTCTTAAAAAAATTACAAGTAGTTGTATATACCTTACGATAATAATGATAACAAAATGCACATTCAGGAAAATTTGTATATTTTTTTAAAACTTTCTCGAAAGCTCTCACAGCTGTTTCGACTAATCTTACATCTTCATTTAACATCGCAATACGATAATCCGTATAGCATTTTCTTATGCATGCCATGCTAAAGTTTGGATTATATTCAAGAGCCTTTTCAAAATCGTGCTTAGCTTTCTTTAGTTCGCCTATGCGTACATATACCTGAAATTACAAATGTTACGTTATTTTATATGTACATTTATATGCATGTGACAAAAATATGCTCAATGTTAATGTGCTTAATACCCATCCTCTGTGACAGTAAATATCGCTATAATGCGGATTTATACTAATGGCCAATTCAAAATTCATGAAGGCCATGTCTAGATCCTCGAACTTTAGATTTAACTCCGCCGTTTTTAACAAAGCGTTTATCTTTACATCATCAGATGCATATTCGATGTTCAGTATACATTCTAAGTCTTGGACTGCAGAATCGTATTTACCCAAAAGTGAGTAAAACGTAGCTCGTAATAATAACACTTCTAGTTTAGTTGAAGGTAATGTATTAAATTTCGGACTTTCAATAATTTCCGTACACAGCGGTATTACCTCATCGTATTTCATATCTTTTAACGCTTGTAATGGCTTCTTGAAAAATCTAATAATAAACACATTAAAAAGTAAATAACCACATACACAAAAATAGTCTTCTGCCTATACTTACTCGGGAACATTTTCTGGACAACAAAGTTTAGAAAACACTGGATCTTTAGAAAAAGATAGAATATAAAATTCGATGTAAAACTTATTTGGCATAAGTAACTTTTTATTTGCCCAATTTTCATAAGCATGTTGTTTCGCTAAAAATAATTTTCATTGCAAGTAATTAAATTTCTCTGTTACGTTTCAAACCTTGTTCTAATTTGCCGTGAATAACGTTTACTTAATACAAAGTGCTTTTATACAACTCACCAAGTTTTTTTAAGATTATTTCTGCCTTTACAAGGGAAATAGGATGAGAAAACTCTTCGTAAATACACGCGGTAATCATATCCTTCAAGGCTGCTTCCAAATCCCCTGTTTGCTCCAATACACGTGCCCGACGAAGCAAAGCTTTAATATATTTTGGATTTAGTTCCAACGCTTTTGTACAATCTGCCTTTACGGAACCATATTTTTTCTGTAAATTGCAATTACAATTATATACACAGTGACATTTTACCACCATCAACTTCAACAATCAATTGAAATAAAATTTTCATGCTCAGCTTATTATGAATATCACCAACAATCTTATTACCAATTGCTCATACGCAGCCGCTCTATTTTGATAAAAAGTCGCGAGTTCATCCTTATTCTCCTTGGGACAAATGTCGATTGCTTTAGTATATTGAGCAATGGCTTCATTATATTTTTCCGTTTTGAAATATATATTTCCTTCGTTCTTATACTTTTGCGCTCTTTGTAAAGGAGTCTAAAACAAAAGAATTTGCTTGCATCTGTCATTAAAGTACTACCTTTTTGATGTTTATGATAAATTTACGAACATATGTAATGCCATTACGGAAGACGCTTCAAGTTATTTGATTGAAGTTCTAAGGCCCAGTTCCACTACTCACAGTTAACTCTTAACCGAGGTTCAACTTGTTTCTCATCTCTCTCCAATTCTAGAATTGGAAAGAGACAATGAATAAGTTGAACCTCAGTTAAGAGTTAACCATGAATTGTGGAACTGGGCCTAAGAGATAAATTTCAATACTATGAATTTCATAATCTCATTAAATTCAGCAGTGTTTGTAGACAATATATTATTTACTAAGGATTATCGCTCGTGAGAACAATTAAAAAATATTAATGATACACATATAGCTATCGCTGAAGAAATATACTAAGAGGGAAATTATAAATCTATTATTTTGATATTTCTGAAATCTAATAAGCAGGCGTTCATAAGAGATACCACGAGGATTATTAATTACGGATAAATATATTTTCGCAATGGAGAAGGGAGGTGGAAGAAAAATGAAGAGATTATAGGAGATAGAATTTCATTGGTCCAGGCGGAAGAGTAAATAACAGAGTAGTATATGATAGGATAGAAAAAACAGAGGCTTCAAAATGTCCTAATGGTTAATTACTGGTTATTTAATGGAATTAAGGCTGTGAAAAAAATACAAAATATAGATATAGATAAATTTATAGATATAATTATAGTTAAAAGAGTATAGAATAGGAAAAGAAGAGGCTATGTATTAAGGAATTATATTAAGATATTATATTGCATTACATTATGTTACTGGTCATAGTATAGTTTAGGTTTTGGTAGGTAGGAATGGATGTGCGATGGAATGAGTTATGAATGGTTTAAGATTTTCTATGTAAACCAAGTCCCTTTCTTGGCTATAAAGTTGAAGTGTAATAAAATTTATCTGTTTTCTTTGAATAAAAGACACTTTCATATAAGGCTTTTAACCTCTGATTCGGCTGCGGGAGAAGGCACTTTGGATGGCCTATTGCTGGGGATACGTTTGTAAGATTCCTCCGCATTCTGGATATCAATGACTCGAGAATATGATCGAAGGAAATGGATAATATATCCAAATCGATTCTTTATATTAAGATGCACCTTTATAGCGTTTACGCCGTATATATATAACAGTTCCTTCAATGTACGACAAAATTTTAAAGCCTTATCAGATAATTTTATTGCTTCCTCTATGTTCCCTCTGAAAGAAAAAATGGATTCAAAATATTTTCATTAAAATACCATCAGATTTTTTATGTAAGCCACATACATAAATGCAAATGATTCCTTTTGAAAACTTACAATTGTAAGAAACAATCATATTGAAAACATACCGTTGTATTTCGATCGTTCTTAACATTTCAATACATCTAAGCTTGCCTTCAATAGAGCACGTCTCCAATTTTAATACTTTGTTCAAGTATTCCAAAGTGTTATCAAGATTACAGTTCCACAATAACAGATAAACAATTGCGTAATCTGGATCTTTCTCTATTGCTTTAACAAAATAAGCATCACCCTTTTGATACTGTTGAGTTTTGAACATTATCTATAAAGATTGAAAATTTCACTAATAAATTAAAATGTGTACGACAATACTTAATGCTTTATCATTTCTTTTTTCGTAATTTTTTTTCTTCCAAAATTGTAGATAATTATACGTACCTGACCATACAAAACATAACAACATACACATTCAGGAGGATTTGAGTATTTATCAAAAGCTTTCTTAATATCTCTTACAGTCATTTCGGCTAAACTTAAATCTCTGTTCAATACTGCAAAATGATAATTTGCATACCATTTCTGCATATGTGCCGCGCTGAAGTTTGGATTCAATTCAACGGCCTTTTCAAAATCGCGCTTAGCTTCGTCTAGCCTTTGAATGTTCAAATACGCCTTAAATAACAAAATAATATTGTTACACTGCTTCATAATACATGGAAACTACATGTGTACAACAAGAAAAATATGCTTAATGTTTAAGTGCGTAATTTACCTGTCCTCTATGATAGTAAATATCGCTACAACTTGGATTTATCATAATGGCTAATTCAAAGTCCTTAAAAGTCAAATGTCGAATCCCGATTTCTCGATGTAGATTTGCTCTTTTTATCAAGGCGTTTACCCTTATGTCATCAAATGCATCTTTACTAGATAAAATAATTTCAAAATCATTGATAGCATCACAATAATTGCACCGAAATAAGTTGAACGTAGCTCGTAATAACACCACTTCTAGTTTAGACGAAGGTAATTTATCAAATCCGGGGCTTTCAATGACTTCTGTGCACAACGGTATTATATTATGGTATTCCTTGTTTTTTAACGCTTGCAATGGTTTCTTGAAAAATCTAATAACAAACACATTGAAAATTGGACATCATAATTCCACTAAAAGTGTTTTGCCTATACTTACTTTGGAATGTTTTCTGGATGTTCAAGTCTAGAAAGTACTGGATCTTTAGAGAAAGCTCTAATATAATATATTTCGATGGCATGCGTAGTTAGCATAAAAAAATTTTTATGTGTCGCGTTTTCCTGGTCTCGTTCCACTAAAAATAATTTTCATCGTAAGTCATTAAATTTCTCTGTTATTTTTCAATTCTTATTCTAGTTTGCCATGAATAGTATTTTATTTAATACTAACGAGTAATCCTACCTTTGTGTCACTCGCAGATTTTGTTGAAACTTAGTAGATTTGTAGAATAGTAAAAAATATTGGACACGTATTTTTTAATATCGACAAAGATGCAGTTTTAAGGAAAATGACCCCTTGTATTTATAAATCAGTAATTAATTCGTTGCATTTGAGCTCATATATTAGAGCTATTATTACATCTTAGAAATAAAGGTTTTTATATTGCTGAAAGGAAATTCAATATTGGAATTAAAGAAATCAAAATGGCGGATCTAATTAAAAAAATTTTTTTGTGGTAACTAAGAATTTTTGTGGTAACTCAAAACCTTTTGATATATTATACGCATCTTTAAGACACAAAAATAACTCTCTAATACTTGAGCTTAAGAGCAAAGAATTAATTACTGATTTACATATACAAGGGATCATTTTCATCCTTAAAATTGCACCTTTGACGATATAAAAAAGCCGATCAATATTTTTTGACTACTCTAAAAATCTACTGAATTTCAATAAAATTTGTGACGAGTGATAGGATTACTTGTAAGTGCTTTTAATATGTAACTAACCAAGATTATTCAAGATTATTTCTGCCTTTAGAAGGGAAGTAGGATTAGAAAACCCTTCGTTAATACACGCGGTAGTCATATCCTTCAAGGCTGTTTCCAAATCCCCTGTTTGCTCCAATACACGTGCCCGACGAAGCAAAGCTTTAATATATTTTGGATTTAGTTCCAACGCTTTTGTACAATCTGCCTTTACGGAACCATATTTTTTCTGTAAATTGCAATTACAATTATATACACAGTGACATTTTACCACCATCAACTTCAACAATCAATTGAAATAAAATTTTCATGCTCAGCTTATTATGAATATCACCAACAATCTTATTACCAATTGCTCATACGCAGCCGCTCTATTTTGATAAAAAGTCGCGAGTTCATCCTTATTCTCCTTGGGACAAATATCGATTGCTTTATTATATTTAGCAATGGCTTCATTATATTTTTCCATTTTGAAATATACATTTCCTTCGTTCTTATACTTTTGCGCTCTTTGTGAAGGAGTCTAAAACAAAAGAATTTACTTGCATCTATCATTAAAGTACTACCTTTTTGAGGTTTATAAGTTTATAGACATATATAATGCCATTACGGAAAGCGCTTCAAGTTATTTCACTGAAATTTCAAAAGATAAATTTATATACTATACATTTCATAATCTCGTCAAAAGTTCAGCAGCGTTTGCAGACAATATATTATTTAAAGATTGTCGCTCGTGATAACGATATTTTGAGATATTAATGGTATATAGCTATAGCTATCAATTAGCAAATACTTTAAAAAATGGAAATTATATAAATCTATATTATAAATCTATCACTTTGATATTTTTGGGATTCAAAAAGCGGACGTTCATAAGCGTAAGAGACAAAGGAGGATTTTCGAGAGAATTTTGAATTTCGGATGTTTTTGCAGGTCAACGGAAGACGCTTCCATATAAGGCACGCTGTCTTAACCTCCGACTCGGCTGCGGGAGAAAGCACTTTGGATGGCCCATCGCTGTCAATGGAAATATGTTTGTCGGATTCCCCTGCATTTTGTATACCGATGAATCGAGAGTATGACCGAAGGAAACGAATAATATGTGCAAATTGATTGTTTATATCAATAAATATCTTTGTATGGTCTACACTGTATACGAATAGTAGTTCCTTGAATGTACGACAGAATGCTAAGGCCTTATCGGATAATTTTATCGCTTTTTTTATGTTTCCTCTGAAAGAAAAAATTCAAAATATTTTCATTAAAATATCATCAGATTCTTTATATAAACCACATATATAATTGCAGATGATCCTTTTTGATAACTGCAATGTACAATAATTGTAAGAAACAATTTTATTTAAAACATACCGTTCTATTTCCGCAAATATTAACATTACAATACACCAAGTCTTGCCTTCAATAGACAATGTATCCAACGTTAATGCTTTGTGCAAGTATTTCTCAATGTTATTAAAATTACACTTCCACATTCTCATATAAACAATTGCGTAATTCGGATCTTTCTCTATTGCTTTAACAAAATAAGTATCAGCCTTTTGATACTGTTGAGTTACGGACATTATCTATAGAGTTGAAATTTCACCAATAAATCAAAATGTGTACAACATAATACTAATGCTTTATCTTTTTTATTTTTTTCGTAATTTTAATTTTTTCTCTCAAAATTATAGATAATTATACGTACCTGACCATACAAAACATAACAACATACACATTCAGGAGGATTTGAGTACTTATCAAAAGCTTTCTCAATATCTCTCACAGTCATTTTGGCTAAACTTAAATCTCCGTTCAATACTGCAAAATGATAATTTGCATACCATTTCTGCATATGTGCCGCGCTGAAGTTTGGATTCAATTCAACGGCCTTTTCAAAATCGCGCTTAGCTTCGTCTAGCCTTTGAATGTTCAAATACGCCTTAAATAACAAAATAATATTGTTAATATTGCTTCATAATACATGGAAACTGCATGTGTACAACAAGAAAAATATGCTTAATGTTTAAGTGCGTAATTTACCTGTCCTCTATGATAGTAAATATCGCTACAACTTGGATTTATCATAATGGCTAATTCAAAGTCCTTAAAAGTCAAATGTCGAATCCCGATTTCTCGATGTAGATTTGCTCTTTTTATCAAGGCGTTTACCCTTATGTCATCAAATGCATCTTTACTAGATAAAATAATTTCAAAATCATTGATAGCATCACAATAATTGCACCGAAATAAGTTGAACGTAGCTCGTAATAACACCACTTCTAGTTTAGACGAAGGTAATTTATCAAATCCGGGGCTTTCAATGACTTCTGTGCACAACGGTATTATATTATGGTATTCCTTGTTTTTTAACGCTTGCAATGGTTTCTTGAAAAATCTAATAACAAACATTCAAAATTGGATATCACAATTCCACTAAGTCTTTTGCCTATACTTACTCTGGAATGTTTTCTGAATGTTCAAGTCTAGAAAGTACTGGATCTTTAGAGAAAGCGCCAATATAATACATTTCGATTTCATGAGTAGTTAGAAAAAAAAAATTTTGCGTGGTTTCCTGGACTTGGTTCACTAAAAATAATTTTGATTGTAAGTCATTACATTTCTTTTTTTATTTTTCAATTTTTATTCTAATTTGCCGTGAATAATATTTAATACTAGATGCTTTTAATATGTAACTCACCAAGCTTTGCCAAGATTATTTCTGCCTTTAAAAGGGAAATTTGATCAGAAAAGTTTTCGTGAATGCAGGCAATAGCAATATCCTTCAAAGCGGCTTCAAAATCCCCTAATTGCTCCAAAATACGTGCCCGACGTAGCAGAGCTTTCGTGTATTTTGGATTCAATTCTAACGCTTTTGTACAATCTGCTTTTACAGAACTGTATTTTTTCTGCAAATTGAAATTATAGTTGCGTATAGACACATATACTACAATAATTTCAACAATAAATTTAAGTCTAATTTTCATGTTATGTTTTTATTAACAGTATCACCAATTTTATTACCAATTCCTCATACGCAGCCGCTCTGTTCTGATAAAAAATTGCGAGATCATCCACGTTCTCCTTTGGACAAACGTTGATTGCTTTATTATATTGAGCAATAGCTTCATTATATTTTCCCATTTGGAAACGTACATTTCCTGCATTCTTATATTTCTGCGCTGTCTGTAAAGGAGTCTACAACAAAAGTTTGCTTGTGTCTCAAGAGTGCTATCTTCTTTTTCTTTTGCAGTTTATGATAATTTTATAATAATCTTAAATTATTATAGACATAAGGCCTGTTCTTTTTGCCTGAACTTTTGCACCAGTTCATCTTTCTTCCTTTTCTTTCCCCCTGAAGAGAAAAGGAAGATGAACTGGTGCAAAAGTTCAGCCAAAAAGAACAGACCTTATTATGTCTATAATAATTTAAGAATATCTCTATAGGGTAGCTACTAAGTACTCTAGAAGATTTTAAGATACAATTTCTTACATAAATTCAAAACAAAAACTCCAAATGCCATATATCTAAAAGGACTTAGTTTTAAAGACATACAATGTCAGAATTGAAGGAAAAATTTTTCGTTCTTTTCACATATTGCGAAAACAACTCGAGTTACTTTAATAAAACTTTAAACATATGCAAAGTTTCTCAAGTCATCAAAATAACGCGAGAAATTGTTAAAACTTTGGAAAAAAACGAATTTTTTTTTTCAATTTTGATATCATATCTCTGAACTAGTTTTGAACATATAAAGTTACATATAAAGTATAGTCATATAAAGTTTTCGTCTTGAATTGTGAAATTTTTCTTTAAAATCTATTAAAATACTTGATAACTACCCTATATAATGCCATAATGGAACATATTACGGATTATTTCACTGAAGTTCTAAGAAAGACAAATATAAAGAAGCTGTGAGTTTCGCAGGTTGTCTCCGTGTTTAGATCAATTATAAAATTCGACAAAAAGTTTTCCGAAGCCTGGAATGAGACAAGTCATTTCCTGTAGTTTTATGCACTCTGAATATGAATTTCCAAATTGCTCCATCACGTCACAATTGTGAGAAATCAGCAGTTAAAGTTGCAAAGAAGGACCATTTACAGATATTTTATCATAACTACAATATGTAACATGCAGGAAAAGTTTTATTGCTTATTTGCTCAAAATGAAATGCATTCTTAAGATCTTTATTTATGATCAACACTAAATTCCTTTTGAGGGCTAAAAATTTGCTTTTGAGGAGAAAAAATCTTAAGAATGTATTTTATTTTGATCGTAATAAAACTTCGACCTCACATATCGTTATAATATACAAACTTCAAAATACCCCCTTTTTTTAATTTTAACTATCGATTTCTCAAAACTATAGCGAGGTAGAACAATTTGAGAAACGGATTCGTCATATTCAGCAGAAAACTGACAGAAATATCTGGTGCCATTTGAATTTTTTTTGTCTAACAATGTTGTTAGAATAGTCAATGTTTTGTGAATATTACATTTCACTTCATCAGAACGAGGAACAATCTGATACTTAAGTGAATTACTATCATGAAACGTTTGCATTTTAATAATGGATCTGGCACAGAGACAACCCACGAAACATACAGCTTCTATATAGAAAGTACCCATGGAAGCGTTAAAAACAAAACAATTATATACTATAAAAATCTTTATAGATTAGGATCCATTACTGTATGCGCTTTATGATTCATTATTACAAAGCATTCAGTAATGCTTGCAGACATTATCTACTAAAGCTTATCTCTCGTGATAACAGCATCTAGATATATCAATGACACAATATATCTTTCCTTTGTATTGACGATACAAAGGAAATAAATCTATGATTCTGATATTTTTTAAGATCTAAAAGGCAGCAACAAATGCGACATTGAGAAGAATAATATGTTCTCTTTTTCATTTCGAATAAATAGATTTTCACAATCTAGTCGGCACTTCCAGATAAGGCAAATGATTTCAACCTCCATATCAGCCACAGGAGATGACACTTTGGGTGGCTGATCACTATGCTTCTTCCTGGTAGATCTATTTTTTCTTCTATGCGTCATCTAAAAATGCAATGAAACAAACTTTCTGTTCACTTAGCATTTGATTTTCCTTCGCAATATAAAGGATGACATGGTTTTGAATACTTTTGAATATTAATAACTTAATAATTTATTTATTACTGCATAATTATACATAAACTTTAATATATTATAAATAATTTTTCTATTTTTTCCAATATAATCCCTTGTATCCTATAGACTTTTAATAATTACTTTGATCAATACTACAGAAACTTATTGATTAAATCAATATAGACATTAACTGAATTCCAGATTTTAAAAAGAGTTAAAGAATAATTACATTTTCTTTTTTCCATGCATCTTCTATTTTAAATAACTATAAAATAATCTATCAAGATTTTTTAAGATTTTGAACGTTTTCTTTCCATCACAATTTCAAAACAAAATACATATCAGTAACAGATTCTATACAATGATTTAAGAATCTGTATTATCACATGCATCATACATGACTCTACAATTCATGAATTAATGAAAATTCAATTTTGAAGATGAATGGATTCAGAGCAATCTTTTGATCTGTATGATCAAAAGAAAGAACTTTTAATGTTAAAGAGATACAAATTTCCTGGATATAAAAAAATTAAAAAATTAAATAAATGGATATAAAAAAATTAAAAAGTATATGTAACTGTAGTCACTCCTTTCAACTATCCATAATCTGATTCTTTTTGACATCATTATTAACAAATATGTTACGTGTTCCAACGGAATACTAGAATGATTCAGGATAAAAACATGTCATAGACAAAGATGTTTTTCATTTAAATATGATATTTAATGAAGGAGTCTTAAATTGCAGCAAGCAATAACTTTGGACATAGAAGATGAACCTAACATGCATTCATGAAAACAATCATACAAGAATGTAAGGAAAGCAAAATATTTGATGTTTTCCAGAAAAGACATAATGTAACACGATGAATCATTATGGAAAACCCAAGTATTGCATCGCATCTTCTACCTTATTTTTCTTCTTATGTCCTAGTAATAGATTACTGTATTTTGCTATTTGTAACTTGTCAGTTCATAAGAGATCTAATTTCCACCAAAGCATCTAATGTGCTGCGTAGAACTAAATTTATATGTCGAACATATATTTAACTGTGTTTAATTTATTCCAGCTTCTATCCAATAAATCTTTACTTTTAAAGAAAACAATACTGTAAATTTGATCTGCACTTAAGTGGAATCGAATTATTATCGACGAAAACTAGATCAAGAGATCACGACGAACAGCAAGTAACGCTTTCCGCACATTACACATTTCTTTACTTAATGGCACCTGCCTCCCGAGAAAAAAATCTTTGGAAATCAATACGATTAGATTTCGTCAAGGCTTCAAATTTGTCACAATTTCAAAAATTTTAGATGATACAACACTTGAACCAAAGAAAGAGCATTTCCAGGGTCTGTCGAGTGATTTTTCGAAACTTGTGATTATGCACGAATATATACTACCTTGATATTGTTAAATACGTTGAGCACAAATTCCTCTTTTCCGTGAAAATTGTTCACGCGGGAAGATTCACGACTCTCACGATGCAATTATAAAGTACTCAGGTCAATCAGTCGACATGCATCCGACTGCGTTGTCTCCACTACATTGTTCTGCGTCGTAATCATATTAAACTGATCAGTATAATGACAAAGGCAAGCTCATATAAAATATAGCGATGTTTCCGGAATCCCCTTCTTCTTCCTCTTCTTCACAAGATAGAAAATTTTTTCGATTGGTATCAAGCGGGGAATTCCCGGCAGCCATTGTAATACAATGGAAACAGTATTTATACCACCGATCAGATACTATTAAAGATTGTCAATCCTGGGCAAATTTTCGTCCATACAAAAAAAAGGGCCCGGAGGTAATTGAAGAACGCTGACATTATCGACAATTGATATAAATTTGCGAATAATAACATAAATTTCGATAATATCACACACACACACACACACACACACACACACACACACACACTTATAATGCTATAATATTTTATATATTGCTGCAAAATTACAATTTTTGTCTCTAGTTATCATCTCTACCACCGACGAGATATTATTAAAGACCAACATCCTTATGGGAGTTCGCGTCCTTGTTAATATTGAAGTGATTAAGAGTAAAAAAACTAATAATATTGTACTAATTTTATAATTTATTAGTTCAGTAGACGTATTTATCGGTGTACGTGCATTTAAAACTCAATAATACTCGATTTTTCTTTAAAATTGTGATTTCAGTGTTATCGTCAAAGTTCGATTATCAACAGAGATAATAACTGCAGAGAAAAAAATTGTAATTTTTCGGCACTATATAGGATATTATAGCTTTACAAATATGCATATTTATTTATAGAGCATTTATGTAATAAAATATCATGAATTTAATAATGTATTAGTCAAATATTTATGTTAATAATAGCAAATTTATATCAATTGTCGATAATGTCAGCGTTCTTCGATTACCTCCGGGCCCTTGGGGCCTTTTTTATACCGCCGAAAATTTGCCCAGGGTTGACGGTCTTTAATAGTATCTCGTCGGTGTCTCTACCCAGATAATCAAGCGTGCGATACTCGCACAAAATATCACTATCGTACTGTTGCGATACTGCCACGAGATGGCGGTGTACCAGATGTATCATAGCTATAAATCCATGATTATATAATAGCAAATTTATATCAATTGTCGATAATGTCAACGTTCTTCAATTACCTCCGGGCTAAGCGTTATTCAATTACCTTAGAACCCTTTTTATATCGCCGAAAATTTGCCCAGAGTTAACGGTTTTTAATATCTCGTGAACAAACCTGTAATATCTCGTCGGTGGTAATAAATTTAAAGTAATTCTTTATTTTCCGTTCCGTTACATTTAAGTTATGCCGCGTTTGGATGAGATTTCGACTGCAATGATTGGTCGCGCCATATTTTCCCCTGGTCAATAAAAACTGGAGTATATCATCGACCAGACTCTCTTCTAGGGATTTTAGGCGTCGTCTACAATATGCGAAATAAGCTTGGTTTAAGAAGTAAGAAATTGACCAATCACAGTCGATTGTGAAAAGAATAATCGACTGTGATTGGTCAATTTCTTAGGTCCATTTCCACAACTCACGGTTAACTTTTAACCGAGGTTCCAATTCTAGAACTGGAAAAAGATAAGAAACAAGTTGAACCTCAGTTAATGGTACGTTTCTACTGAGCGCGTCACGCGTCGCGTCGTCCGTCCGCGTCACGAATTAACCAATCAAAACATCCCATTCCATTACGCAGAGTCGCGCGTCAAACGGTACAATAAAATGGGATGTTTTGATTGGTTAATTCGTGATGCGAACGGATGACACGACGCGTAACACGCTCAGTAGAAACGTACCATAAGGGTGAAATCACACGGTGCGGAAAAAGACTGCGGAATAGAGAATGCGTCATTGAAGCAACCAATCACGCTATTCAGCGCTATTCGGAATAGCGCTGATTGGTTGCTTCAATGACGCATTCTCTATTCCGCAGTCTTTTTCCGCACCGTGTGATTTCACCGTAAGAGTTAACTGTGAGTTGTAAAACTGGCTTTACTCTTATGCGGGGTCTACAATAGAAGTCGTAGAGGTCGTATGGTCTTAAATTGTAGAAAATTGACCAATCACAGTTGATTATTCTTCTCATATTCGACTGTGATTGGCCAATTTTCTACGACTTAAGACCCTACGACTGCTACGACTTCTATTGTAGACCCCGAATTACTTCTTAAACCAAGCTTACTACGTGTATTGTAGACGGGCCGTTAGATCGGGCTTAAGTCCGGATCTACAATAGATGTTTTAACCTTAAACCGTAAGAAATTGACCAATTACAGTCAAATCCGAGGGGAATAATCGACTGTGATTCGCCCATTTTTTATGGCTTAAGACTTAAAACTCTATTGTAGATCCGGGGTAATGGAAAGGCACCTTTAGACTTTAAAACGCGATTGGCTCGACTGAACGAACATGGCGATTAAGACGTATCAGACGCGGCGTTGTGAACGGCAATAAGCGAAAGCGCATCGCTTTGGCTGTTGCTGTTGGCGTGATCTGCCGAGTAAACATCGATTCGTGCATTATCGCCGCGTGCGAGATGAACGTGTGTGTGCGTATCGCTGTATTCGCTGTCGCGGAACTGACGAGAGTCGAATAATCGATCGGACCGTTCCAAGACCGTTCACGGATTTCGTGGAACGAGACGAAGTGGCATCCAAGTTCGTTACATCTCTGTGAGTCGATCATTTGAAATTCGGAGGATCAAAGCCGCGTTTCGTCGTCGTCGCCGTTATCGTCGTCGTCAGTAAGTTGGCGCTCGAACGTTGCCAGAATGGCAACGACGAAGGATCGTAGGTGCATCGGCGCGGGATGGCGATGCGTCGCGGTGCGACATTGATTCGGGATCGATCTCCCGACGTCGTCGCCGTTTCACGGAATTGTCCATCGATTGACCCGCGCGTGCGGCCAGTCAGCCTCAGCAGTCGAACAGCGCAATCGATAATCCCTGCGAGCGCTTTTTGCGCTGGGCGCGAGATCGTAATGGCGAGAGCGTGGCGTCGATGGACGATAGGCGGCAAGAGTGGGAGACAGTGGTAAAAAAAACAATGCTGAATCGCTAAGCAGCGCGTAAGTGAACGAGACGTTGCGGGCGGAGGCGCGTATCGCCGGAGCACAGAAACTTTTCATAAAGTATAATAGAATCAACCGAACGATTCTTCGTTTCACGAAAGGACAAGACTCTGATTGATCGGCTGCGTTCAGCGAAAGAAGCATCTTTACAACTGTTGTAAGAAACTTTCATACAATCGGTTATACATCCAACGAGGAACTATAAGGACGATAGTCAATCCTTTTGAAAGGTCTGTTCGCCCTGCTTGAAGTCCCTAAAGTTTTTGCATTTAAAATGAGATAAACATACATTCTGGTGTTGAAGAGTAAGAAAGCGATAATGCTGAGTGCAAAAAGTGCAAACAACGCGAACAGACTTGACGAATCTTACGAGTTTACAACAATTGTAGAACTGCTTTTTCTGCTGAAGTCAGTCATAAGTTGTCTTGTACTTTATGCATCATACGTTACGCAAAGGTCTGTGCTCCGGTCTTATCGGCGAGCGCGATGCTCCCGCACGCCGATTCGGGGAAGGGTGTAGTCCCGGCGCGCGCTTCCGGCGCGTCAGGTTCTTCTCTCCTTTTTTTTCCCTCTTCTCGCCGCGATGATGTGTTCGACGTTAGCACTCACCGGGTGCCACCCGTTTGAAAACGCGTCATCTGCATCCGCAAAACGTGAATTCACTGACGCACCACGTTATTAAATAAATTTAACGATGAAAGAGTTTCCGGAATATCTGTAATTCCGAGTGTATGTTTCCTCAAAGTTGATGAATTATTGATATTCAACTGAATAAATGACAGTTCTATAATTGCAGTTCATAATTTGTGCTAAATAAACAACTGATAGATTCGAAATATCGTATAAAGTACCCCGTCTCGGAACTAGCTATTTCTGTTTGAAAAAGAGTTACAATATTTATGGAATTTCGTTCTTTGTCACTGAATTGATATAGCGGTGGGAGGAGACATGCCAAAACTCATTCCTGTAAAAATAGCATCGCAAAAATTCGGATTGGAGACCGATGAATTCGCGCTTTGTATTTTTTTTCGGGAGACAAATTTAGTCGATATTTAAGATAGAATTTAGAATCACAACATAAACAAGATAATAGACGAATTATTCTCATTACACATATATAAATATATTTTTTTATTGAATGTAATATTTTTTGACAACTTATTTACTTATTTTGTAATTTAAAAAATGAAAGTTTATAATTTTAAAAAATTTGTCAGGTATTAATTTGATTACATATTCAAAAGTTTAGATATTTTTTTAATTTAAGAGGAAGAGAATAAATTAACTTATAACTAAAGTCAACTATAATATAAGATAGAATTATTCTATTTTTCAAATTCTATCATGAATCGGAGGAAATTGGAAGAAGTATTGCCTCTGTGTGATTTCAGATTGCTGACGAAGATTTTTTATAGGTGTAGACAAAAGAATATTATGCATACCCATTATACCTAATTGATCACCTTTCGAATATGGATGACGAAGAAGGAACTTCGAGTTCTGGACCTATGTCTTCATTAAACAGCTTGTTTTCATTCACCAGTCCTGCTGTGAAAAAATTGCTCGGCTGGAAACAGGGCGATGAGGAGGAGAAATGGGCTGAGAAAGCAGTGGATTCATTAGTGAAGAAACTGAAGAAGCGCAAGGGTGCGATTGAGGAACTCGAACGAGCACTGAGCTGTCCAGGAACGCCGAGTAAATGCGTGACGATTCCTAGAAGCTTAGACGGCAGATTGCAAGTTTCGCATCGCAAGGGCTTGCCGCATGTAATATACTGTAGAGTCTGGCGCTGGCCAGATCTTCAGTCGCATCACGAATTGAAACCGCTGGACTTGTGTCAGTTTCCGTTTTCTGCCAAGCAGAAAGAAGTCTGCATCAATCCTTATCATTACAAAAGGGTGGAGAGCCCGGTACTGCCACCGGTGTTGGTTCCTAGACACTCGGAATATGCTCCCGGCCATTCTCTGTTGCCATTTCAACAAT